AAAAAAATAAATAAAATGAATACCTGGAAAGGCTTGACTGTCACCCCAGCTTTGTTCTTCTTCTTCACCACTTCAATGAGCTTGCTAACTACCTGGTCAGCCACATAATCAATGTGCCTGCCTCCCTAAAGTCCAGAGGACAAAAACAAGATCCATTTAGAGAATAAACACCGTAGGTCTTAATTATAGTGACACAAAGTGGCTGGAGAGCAGCCAGACTTCTGCTTGGCTGCCAAGAGAGCTCAGTCTAGTTCAATCATTCTTAAACCATTTCAGAGCTGCTCAAAGATGTAAATTTAGACAGCTTTCCAACAAACTTAATCATTTAAATTACTGATTTAACAACAGCCTACACATAGACACAATATATGCATTAGATCAAATCCAATGCACTGAGTTATTACCTTTGTTGTGGCAATGCTGTTGACAAAGCTGACTTGCTGGAAACCTTTCTCGCTCATGGTGAGGCAGACCTCCCAGCGCTCATTGACAGTCTCATGGATGACAGTAAGAGGACCACCCAGTTCATCCACCTTGTCTTTCACATACATGTCCACATAGCTACGGAAACCTGTAACCTTAAGTGTGAAGTTCATACAGTTTATATTAGTTTTCAATGCATTTTAGCCCGAACAAATTAGGATGTAACATGTAAGATTTGTCTTGCTAACATCAAATATTTCATTAAATGAAGTTAGTAGAAATAATTTTAAGTCTGGTAAGTGACTACTTTTTATAAGTCCACAAAAAGCTTTGGATTTTAGGTTTAACTTTGTGAATGAAGTCTTCAGTCAACATTTAAAATACACACAATATATTAAAAAGCTTAATAAAATTACTTCCCAAAACATCAAGCGTTAACGGAAAAAAGTTAAAGATCACAGTAACTTACTGGTAGCTTCTTGCTATTGAAGAACACCCGGACACCCTTAGCGGATCCAGCAATATCATAGGCCCTCCTGGTCATCAGAGCCACTGTGTCTTTGTCAAGGATGCTCATCTTAAACTTGGCCAGATCTGGTCTGAAGGTGATGCAAGTGTATTCCTCTCCATCAAACGGTTTGATGCCAGCCTCCCCTGCTCTGCCCATGTTGTCATACCAAGTCTATGGAAAACATGGGCATAACAGAAAATGACATTCTCCCCAATCAAGACATAAAAATGAAAGTGGGAAATGAGGTCGATCTTCCTTCATACCTGCTTGAAGCACTTCTTCGACTGTTTACAAGCAGTCTCGACAGTGAACTTTGTACTGAAGATGTTGCAAAGCTTGGCACCGTATCCATTTCGTCCACCTGAAGAACATTTATAGAGTTAGGAACAGATTGAACATTAAATTAGGCTTTTGTTCCTAATAAAACGCTAAAATTTCAGCATTAATTGTGTTGGACATAATGATGTAGAAGGGAGTCTTTGTAATTATACAGAATATTTTCTCATTAAGAATGACAGAAAACAATCAGTATTATATAAAGCACTCAAATTCATCAATCTTACCAGTGACTTTCTTCTCGTCATCATCATAGTTACTTGAAGTGAGGAGCTGTCCAAAGATAAGAGCAGGTACATAGACTTTCTCCACTTTGTGCTCCACCACAGGAATACCCTTCCCATTATTCCATACACTGATGGTGTTGTTTTCACTAAAAGGAACAAAAACATACACAAGCGCTTGATTTGTCAGCTGGTAGCTGTAGTAGAGTTACTTTATATTTTAATATCTTAAACTTGATAGTGCACCGTTATACACAACTCACGGATCAATGTTGACCTTGATGCAGGACATGCCCTTATCTCTCTGCTTGTTATCAGCTGCATTTACTATGGGAAGAGAAAGTAAAATCTATTTTTACTACATTTTACTGGAGCTAAAACACTGTTTAATAAAGGTTTGTCACGGACATCTATAATTGCAAGAGCTTTTTACTTACCAAGGATCTCATCAAAAATCTTGTAGAGCCCAGGCACAAAGGTCACATCACGGCAGTTCAGTCCAGCATCCTCATCAAACACCCACATTTGCTAATGAAAAAAGTTAAATAATCAGAAGGAGCTTGCATGCGTTCATTCAATAAGAACCATAACTGTACAGTCAAAAAAAACCAAACAAAAAACTGCTTTAAATCTACACATGACTGTTAAAGAAATTTTAAAACTTCTTACTTGAGTGACAGGCTCAACAGAGCCTATGTAGGAGTCCGGTCTGAGCAAAATGTGCTCCAGCTGCGTCTTCTTCTGATAGATTCTCTCCACTGACAGCCGCTTAGGATCCTTCTTCAGCTTTTCCACCGGCTTGTTCTCCAAAAAGGCCTGATGAAAACGACACAAGGTTATCTTTTAAGATTCATCATTCAACACTCTTTATTGTCAGTATGCA